AGAGAGAGAGAGAGAGAGAGAGAGAGAGAGAGAGAGAGAGAGAGAGATAAATAAACAGCCGCCTACTTAAGATGATTCCTCTGTTACTGATTCCGGAAACTTTGGAGAGTCCTCGCACCTAAGCTGCTAGGAAAAGGGTGGAGAGCATTTTAGATCTATTCTTGCGCCTGGCTTGATTGGCTTTAGTTTAAAGGCCACAGAGTTTTTCCCAACGAGAGCCTTAAGGGGGATTGGGAGTGTGAACATTTGGGGTGAGGGTTTCTTTTCCACCTGGAAGTTGAATGAAAACCAGACGTGTTCTGGAAAACAGATTTATTCATAATCGGTTCACCAAAGTCAATAAAAAAATTAGGTATCAGTTCTGCCAAATCGTTACAAATTGGCTGAATCACACCACTGGATAGGACCCAATGTCCAAGTCTAGCAAGACCCTTTTTGATCTTGAGATTCTACAAGAGTTCTTGTCTTCTTTCGGGTGAAGTCTAAAAGAGAAGAGAGTTGTCTAAAAATCTTTTTAAAGCATATTTTCTCTCTTTTTAATATTTTTAATGAAAATGTTTACTTCAAAGAAAAATAAGAAATATATAAAAGACAGAAAAGAAGAAAAAAAAGTAAAAGGAAAAAGGAAACAATTAAGGAAAAAGGGAAAAAAGGGAAAAAAAGACTATGACTTCTAACTTTCATTACAGCAATTACAATCAAAGTTATTTTTTCTTGTAAACATAACCAGGAGCCCTTTGTCGTTGTCTTCAACACTTTTTCAACACATTTTAGCTCTTTCCATTTTCAATATTAGCACTACTAATACCACTTAGACATATATACCGCTTCACAGTACTTTTACAGCCCTCTCTAAGTGGTTTACAGAGTCAGCATATTGCCCCTAACAATCTGGGTCACAGATTGGAAGGATGGAAGGTTGAGTCAACCTTGAGCTAGTGGGACTTGAACTGCTGAAGTGCTGGCAATCAACAGTCAACAGAAGTAGCCTGCAGTACTGCACACTGTGCTACCACAGCTCTTAAATCATTAAAGGTTCAGTATTCCACAAACATACTTGTTATTTCATCATCTGTGTGGGTACTGTATATTTCTTCATCTTATACACATAAAATAATCTTGCTGACTAATGAAATAATACCCAGTTTTGCACATTCATTTGTCATAACCAAATATATTATTCTGGAGTGGCCCAAAAATCCTCTCCTTCCTCCTATAACTTTCACTCCTTTTATAGCAATAACTTTTTCTTTATTTCAAATTTGTAATAATAAAAGGAGTAACAAAATAAAAGTTTTGTTTAAATGTCCATAATGTTTTAGTCCCTTTCAATTACTCCAATACTCCATATTTCCATAACCACATGAAGTTCCCAGAAGTTCTTGTTTCCCTTCTTTTTATTTCTTATTTATTTGTTTACCACAGTCAGCCAGTCAGCTTCCATGACAGATTTAAATATT